TCGAGCAGAGGACTCTGTTTATATGGCTGTTGCAGAGCCAGGGTACCTGGGGTCCCAGCTATTTGTAATTTGGAAGGTTTTGTCAGCCCCTCAATTACACCCATTTGATCTGTGGCTCCTGAGATGCAGGCACACCATGTGTGTGCTGCTCTCTGTGCAATCCCATCTGCTGCAACACTGCCCTCCTCAATCCTGGCTATCGGGTTCAAAGGGCCTTGGATTTGCACAGATTGGTGCTGGTGAATTTTTTCTACTTATTGAAGAGCTCGGGTCAGAGACAATAATCCCCTTTCCCAGCCAGTGTATCTTTTTTCAATATCTTTTAATGCTGTGGAGCTGAACCCTAATGGTCCTTTGGGTCCATTTGGGCCTTTCTGGAACATAGTAATGTTCAGCAAAACCCCATTCAACTCTTACAGGATCACTGGGGTGAACTGGCTGAAGAGGCTGATATATTTTTAGCTCTTCTATCAGCGTTTGCAAAGCCTGTTTGTGTCTATCAAGGCACTCCCAGGTCTGTTTTTTCCTCACTAATGCATGCAAGGGTCTTGCTATTATAGAAAATCCAGGAAAATTATTTCTCCAGCATCCTCAAGTACCCATGATCTTGTGAAGTTCCTTTTTAGTAGCAGGAGTGGGTATAGCATCTAATCTTGCAATGGTTTCATCTGGGATTACAGCCTGACCTGCAATCCACCAGGTTCCAAGGAATTTCACCTCTTCAGAGAGTCCTTGGTGTTTAGCAGGGGGCACTTCTACCCCCCCCTCATTTAATTTATTCCATATATCCTGTGCTGCTTTTCTTGCTGCCCTTTCCCCTTCACCCCCTATCAATGCATTATCAATGTATCGATAGATTTGTGCCCCTTCCGGGATTTCTCTTTGTTGAAGGAGTTCAGGTAAAGCCTTGTGTGCCATTTTAGGTGAATGCTGATCCCCTTGGGGCAGGCAATTAGAGGGGTATTTTATTCCTTCCCAAGGAAATGTAAATTTGGGTTTATCTTCTTCCTGAAGCGGAGCCATGGAGAACATGTCTTTTACATCTACAGCTGCCATCCCTTCTTTGGCTGCAGGAGGAATAGAATGCTGTTTGATGCTGGTCACAGCAGAAGCAGATAAAACTGCAGCCATTGTTAATAGATTATTTTTCTATGTTTTTCCCCAGACAATTTACTATATGGAGTGTTTGGTGGGCCCAAATGACCAAACATTCTCTTGGGCAATTACCGAGCTTTTTCTTTAAGGACATCATATCCTAAAATGTTTTCTTCATGACCTGAAATTGCAAAGGTGTGTCAGGTCATTCATTTTTCCCCAAGTAACCACAAACAGACTCACTCTGGCAGTATAACAGACGCTACTCTGTCCCTTGAATCCTGTTAGACAGACCCTTTTTCCTTTAGAACTTCGGTTTAATTTTCCATCATCTGTGGGGGTGACCAGAGATATTTGGGCTCCCGCATCAATTAGAAAATTCAAAGGTTATTTTTTAGGTCCCACTGGTGAGTAGATGTGGGGCCCATCTTCATTAGACCATTTGATAGGTCAGAATGTGTGGGTGAGGAGGCCCAAGGTTCACCCAGCACTTGGTGGGTTTTTTCCTTTGGTGTATCTGTTTGTTTTTGTGTTGGGTTTTTTTTGTGAGGTGTGGTTTTTCCTGGGGAGGCTTTTTGTTATTCTTGTTTCCCTCTTTCTCTACTTTGACTGAGTTTGCTGTCACAGCAGTGGGGTGTCCCCTGAGAGCTGCACTGGGAACGACTGAAATCACGGTGTCCTCCACACTCCTTCTGCTGTTCCCATGAGTGAGAATGGGGTTGGGATTTTTCTTTTCTCTTGGCTGGGTTATGTTTAAATTCAGAAGACCTCCACACTGCAGTTTTTGGGCTCTTCTCAACAGCCTGAGTTTGCTCTCCAGAATGGTTTTCCCAGCCCATTTCCCTTGCCTGGTTTACCTTATCATGGAAGAGTTCTGCCCCCCTGGGGATGGGGCACCTGGTGGATCTTGTGAAGGTTCATTACACATCACATCTCTGCTGATTCTGTCTCGTCACCCCTCTAAACATGTTTTCAACATTGTCAAGGCTCCTCTCAAGAGAGATCTTGATATATCCCAGTCCAGCTCTGGGAGACAGGGGTGTCTGTGTTTGCATGGCTGGGCATGGCCTGGAGGCAAAGCCACAGGGGAGATTTCAGCTCTGAAGAGATTGGGGTGTCTGTGTTTGCATGGCTGGGCATGGCCTGGAGGCAAAGCCGTGGGGGAGATTCCTGAGGTGACTCTGTGGGTGTGGAGCTGCTGCTCTCCCCAGAACATTTGTTCCTCCTGCCCAGCATGCAGCCCTGCTGGTTATGGAACGGGGTTGATTGGCAGGCTCGGGTCCCAGATTTAATCAGGCTCCTGGCCTCCAGAGTCCAGCACTCTCAGCTCCATGCAGTAATATCCTGGCTCCCCAAGACATTCACTCTCCACAAATACTCAGTCTCTGACTCACCTGGTTTTCATCCATATTTTTCCCGTAGGTTTGCCAATTGTAGGGGGTCCCAGGGAGTGGTTCTGACCATGTTCTTCCTCTGACCTCCTTGAGGTCCTTCAGACACTTTGGTTTCAGTTGTGGGTCTCATTTTTCATTCTGAAACCTCTTCCTCTCTAGGAGGTGGGGGTTCAATTGTTTCATCAGAGTACCATTCTCCCTCATCAGCATTTTCATCAGGGTTTTCCCAGATATCACCATCCCATCCTCAGGTGATACTATTAATATTCCTATTTTACTGACATCCAGAGAATTGTGGGCTTTTAATAATGTCCATTCTAATTTTTCTTCCAAGATTTTTTCTTTTCCTTGGACTCTTTTATCTGTTATTTTAATTGGCCATTTTGATACTGTAAAGAGAGTTCTACATGTTTTCTCTTTTGTTTCACCTCTCAGATTAGTAGTTTCTTTTATCATTTGCTGTCTCCATGGCCTTTAAGCACAATCCCAGTGCATGACTGATGACACCTTTTCCTTTTTTATCTTTCTGTGATCTTCGGGTTTTGATTAATTTCTCTTGGATCCTTTCCCACTCATACCAATTGTCCACTGGCCCAGGACCATCGGTGTTAATGTGTGTCCTGGGCCTCCAGAATATCCTGGTAAGCATTTTGTCTGTTTCTCAAAACTGAGATGGGATGATGGGAGGGGATGGGAGAGGAGGGGATGGGAGGGGAGGGGATGGGATGGGGTGGGATGGGAGGGATGGGAGAGGAGGGAAGGGGATGGGATGGGATGGGATGGGATGGGATGGGATGGGATGGGATGGGATGGGATGGGATGGGATGGGATGGGATGGGATGGGAGGGGATGGGATGGGGACTCCCTAAACCCTGAAGCAAGGGAGAATACAGAAAGACTGAGCCCTTCCCAGTTTTCAGTTCCCTCCTGTCCAAGAACTACTATGATGGCTCTGGATCTCCACCTCCTGCCAACAACGGGAGTGCCATCTCAGAGAAACAACTTCCCAAAGAATCTGCTCACGTTGGGATTTGCTGCTCCAGAGTGGGACAGAACCAGAGCCTGGCTGTGCAGCACCAGCATGGCTGCAACCAGGGATCCCACTGATCCTAAAGTTAACCTGAACTGGAGAGAAAATTGGGTCCAGAGGAGGTCACGGAGATTCTCCTGGGGCTGGAGCCCCTCTGCTCTGGAGCCAGGCTGGGATTGCTGGGGGGGCTCACCTGGAGAAGAGAAGGATCCAGGGAGACCTTGGAGCTCTTTCCAGGGCCTAAAGGGGCTCCAGGAGAGCCTGGGGACAAGGGATGCAGGGACGAGACAAGGGGGAATGGCTTTCCACTGGAGAAGGGGAGATTCGAGTGGGATACTGGGGAGAAATTCCTCCCTGTGAGGCTGGGGAGGGGTTGGAATGGAATTCCCAGAGAAGCTGTGGCTGCCTCTGGATCCCTGGAAGAGTCCAAGATGAGGTTGGACGGGGTTTGGAGCCACCTGGGCTAGTGGAAGGTGTCCCTGCCCATAGCAGGGGGTGGAATAAGATGAGCTTTCGGGGATAGATGATGTTTTCTCACATCACCAGCACCAGAGCTGCATTAACAGAACAGCCACACACCACATACCAACCCCCTCCAGTGAACTGTTAAAGAACCCTCCATTATTAGACAGACAGACAGACAGACAGACAGAGACAGACAATGTCCCTGGAGTTCACCTGATGATGGCACTGAAGATGCCAAGAGCACCTGAGGGCAAAAGGCTCAGTCCCAACCTCACCATTAATTAAACCCCTCAACAGCCAGGGCACAAACTGGGGCTGGACAACCCCTGTCCCCACCCCCTGTCCCCAAATCCTGATGTTTCCCCTCCAAATCATCTGCCCAGAAACTATGAACACAAAACTTGAAGCTCTAGGGAGGTGCCAGTGCCCCAGACCCAACCTGGAGCCTGTTCCAACAATCGGCATCCCCAAACACACCCAAGCTGGAGCCTGTTCTTCCTGGGACACCACCACCTCCCACCACCACCATCTTGCCCCTTCCAAGGGCACAGTGGTGGGCACAGTAGCCCCGATGCCCTGGCAGGACAGACCAGGGAACAGCCACGATGTGGAGAAACAGAGTACCCCACAGCAGCCCCCACGGCAGGGGGTGAGACCACCCCCAGGGGTGGATTCAGCAACAAGTGGAACTGTAGGGCCCCCCAAGACAGGTACCACCAGCTCCAATCTCCTGCCAGCACACCCACCACGTGGGGTGAGGGGTGCACCAGAGGGTGCCCCAGCACCAGGACACGGCTCCAACACCTGGAAGGTGCTGGCACCCACCAGTCCTGTCAGAACCCGAGCCCGTCCCAGTCACACCATGCCCAGAACAGCCAGGAGCCCCCTTCACTCCCACCCTGAACCCCCTCCCCTCTGGACACAGGGACAGCCCTGCTGGGCCTCATGGTGCCACAGGGCAGGTGGGATCACGGTGACCCCTGACAGGGACCAGCCCCTTCTCTGCACCTTCCCCCTGGGGGCGAGGGACGGAGCCAGAGCCGCGGGTACAAAACCCGGTGCCGCGTCTTTATTGGGGGGGCAGTGGGGGCCGGGGGGCGGCGTGGGGGCCGGGGTGGGAGGTGTGGGGTGGGGATGTGTGACGGTGGGGCAGCGAGGGCTGGGGGTGCTGATAAATAAGGGGGCGAGTGGGGGGGGTCCCGTGGGGGTGTGGGGACCCCCCGGCCCGGCTGTGCCCCTGCCGGGGGCCCGGCGGCTCTAGGGCTCGTCGGCGTCGTAGAGCAGGGCGGCGCTGAAGGTGGTGAGGGGCTCGTCGGGCGCGTGGGCCAAGCGCCCCGACACCAGCTCCACGCACAGGGTCTCGCCGGCTGCCAGCGGCAGCAGGAGGCTGAAGACGCCAAGGGCACCGGGGCTGGGGGCCTGCGCGGCCACCGGCCCCTTCTCCAGCCCCTCGGGCTGGAATCCGGCCGAGTCCAGGCGGGCGATGCCGTGGCCGGAGCGGGACAGGACGGCCTCCAGCCCCTCGCCCCGGTGCCCTGTCAGCACCGCGCTCACCAAGTACCGCCCGGGCACTGGCGCCGTGAACGTGCCTGTGGCAGGAGGAGGGGATCAGGGACGCCCAGGGATCCCCAGTGCCCCCAGAGTAGGCTCTGCACCCCTGGATCCCCCGCAGCACCCCATGGCCAGCGGCACACCCTGGGACGGGCACAACACCCCCTGGGAGCTCCCAGCCACCATCACACCTGGCATCGCATCCCCCTGGGACTGTGCAGCCCCCTCGCACAGCAGAGCCCCCACTGTAACCTCCACCACCCCAAAGCAACCCCACAGAGCCCCGTGCCCCCGCCCGGCCGTGCCGTGGGCTCTCACCTGTCTCGGGGTCGTAGGCACCACCATCATTGAGCAGCACCTGGTCGAAGGGGACGGTGCCCGGCTCCGTGCGCTGGGTGCTCAGGGCGGCCGAGAAGGCGACTCGGGGCACCGAGCCTGGCTCCCCGACCTCGCCTGGGCATCGTGTCAGGATAGGGCACACCTGTGTCCCTGCCCCCGGGGCACCCCTTGCCACCCTGTACCCTCTGCCCCCCAGCCCAGCAGATGCAGCCCCCGCTCCCCCTTCACTGTGTCCATGCAACCCCTTGACCCCGTGCCCCCGCAGTGCCCCAACCCCCCTGCTCCCCAGCTGCCAAGTGCCCTCCCATGCCAACCCAGACACCCCCTGCTCCCCTTCCAGTCCCACTCAGCTCCCCACATCTGCCCCAAGCGTCCAGCCCCATGTCCTCTCCCCCTAGCCCCCCATGCCCCCCTGCACCCTAAGCCCCTCAGCCCCAGCCCTACCTCTCTCTCCAGGCAGCCCTGGGGGAAAAGATGAGGAGGGGCTGCAGAGCTGACTTGGGGCAGGACCCCCAGGCACAGGGTCCAGCCATGCCAGCACTGCCCCCCTGGTGCATCAGGGCACACGAAGCGGGTTCATCCTTACCAGGGGGGCCCATGGAACCCTGTTCTCCATCCTTTCCAGGAGGCCCAGGTGGGCCACGAGGGCCTGTCTCACCCATGGGGCCAGCAGGTCCAGGGGGGCCAGGGGGACCTGGAGACAAGAGAGGGTTAGAGCTACCCTGGCCCCATAGATAGCCCTTTTCCTCACCCCACAGCCCCATAGCTGGTGTCCCATGTGTGATATCCCCATGTTCCCATGACTGGTGTCCCCTTGTCCCCACACAGTGCAACCCCAAGGCTCAGCTCCTTCTGTGGCCTTGTGTCCCCACACCCCAGCACCCCCTGACCATGCACCTGTGTCCCCACACCCCACTGTCACGCTCCCTGGTGACTCCACGTCCCCGTGTCCCCACACCTCCACCACCGTTCCCACATCTGTGCACCCCTGTGAAGCCCCATGTCCCCCCGTGTCCCCACAGTCCCGGCATGCCCTGTCCCTCTGCAGTGCCCGTGATGCCCCACGTGCCCCCATCCCTGCAGCCCCTCGGGCCCACGATGAGCAGTGTCCCCACAGACCTATGTCTCCCACAGCGCCGCATGTCCTCCCACGTCCCCACAGCCCCACACCCCCGTGAGTCCCCCCGTGCCCACGCACCGTGGCGCTCCAGCTGTGCCAGGCGGTTCAGCTCCCCGCGCAGGTGGCCCAGGCTGGCGTTGAGGGCGCCCAGCCGGGGCGGCAGCTCCAGCGCCTTCTCCAGCAGCGCTGCCTGGGTGCGGGCCGTGGCGTTCAGGTCCCGCACGGCCCCCCACAGCCCGGCCACGTGCCGGCCCAGACCCTCGCGGACGCCCCGCAGACCCCCGGCCACCGCCTCCAGCTGCTCGCAGATCCCCTCCAGCTTGGCCACGCGCGGCTCCAGCCCCGCGGGGCAGCCCCCGGCCCGCGCCAGCTCCCGCGCCAGAGCCTCCAGCCGCTCCTCGCTCTCGGCCTGCCGTGCCGCCGCCGCCGCCGCCGCCTGGTCCAGCTCGGCCACCACACGGTCGGTGACGGAGCCCAGCTGGCGCTGCCGGGCATCCTGCTGATCCAGCGCGTCCTGCAGCCCCTCCACCGTGGTGTTGAGGCCGCTCAGGGCCCGCAGTGCCGCCGCCAGCTCCCCCCGCAGCTCCCGCAGCTCCGAGGGCGACGTACCCCCGAAGACGCCGAACCCCTCCAGTGGTGCCTCCAGCTCCCCCAGATCCGTGGGGTCGGGCTGGAGCTGCTCTGGCTCCCGGGGGGGCGGTGGGACACAGGGCCGGGCGCAGGGGTCACCGCTCAGCCCCTCCAGCGCCGCCTCCAGCCGCCCCGTCCGGTTGCGGAGTTCCTCCAGCTCCTCGACCAGCACCTCTCCCTGTGCCCCCAGCAGCCCCCCCAGGGTCCCGGCCAGCCCGTCCCCACGGAGCCCTTCGGTGTCCTGCGGCTGCCGGGGGCGGGGGCCGAGCTCCCCGCCGTGCCCCGGGCAGGGCTGGCTGCAGCGAGCCAGCAGCCCCTCGAGCTCGTCCAGGCGGGCGCCGCGCTGAGCCCCGCTGGCCGCCAGCCCCTCCACCGCCCGGCTGAGGTTGGCCAGGCGCGCCGGCAGCCCTCCCGGCCGCCCCTCGGGCTCGGAGGGCCACGGGCCGGCGCGGGAGGCGTTCAGCCGCCCCTCCAGCTCCGTCAGCCGTCGCGCCAGCACCGGCCCCTGCCCCGGCCCCGCCGCCAGCCCCGGCAGCCCCTCCAGCCGCCGCTCCAGCTCTGCCAGGCGCCGGAGCACGTCCGGGGGTGGCGGGGCAGGGGGGACAGGGGCCAGGCGGCTGCTCAGGCTGCTGATGTGCCGCTGCACCGACTCCACCGCATCCCGGTTGCGCTGGTCCACCGAGCCCACCAGCTTCTCCAGCGCCCGCATGCGGTCCCGGTCCTCGGCCGCCTGCCGCCGCAGCCCCTCGGTGCCGATCGTGCAGGCGGCGCACAGCTCCTGCAGCCGCCGCTCCAGGTCGCGCAGTGACGCGATCCCCGGGCCCCCCGGCGTCCCCGGGCCTTCCCGGCCGCCCTCGGTGCGGCGCAGGCGGGTCTCCAGCTCTTCCAGCCGCTTCTGGACGTGGCTGAGCGCCTCCCGCACCTCGGCGGGGGCGGCCGCGTCGGCCGGCTGCTCGCCCCCGGGGCGCCCCTCCGCCGCCCGGGGCGGTGGCTCCTGCCCGGCACGCAGCTCCTCCACCTGCTCGCTCAGCCGCCGCACCTGCTCCTCCAGCCGCCGCACCTTCTCCGCGTCCCCGCCGCCTGCCACGCACCGCCAGCGTGTCAGGGTGCCACCCCCGACACTGCATCCCCTGCCACCGCGTCCCTCCACCACCCCATCCTCCTGCCCCAGCACTACCTTCACCCCCCAGGCCGCTGAGGGGGTTGCCGAAGCCGGAGAGTGTGGGGTGGCCGGGCCGGGGCGGGGGGCGGCCGGTGGGCTGGGGGGACGCTGGGGCGGGTCCCTCGGTGCAGTCTGGGCCCGAGTATCCCTGGCAGCAGCGCCAGGCCAGCTCCGACACCGTCCGCTGGGCCACCTTATAGCGGGGCCGCAGGAAGCTGCGGTACCTGTGGGTGGAGGGGACAGGGAGTTTGGGGGGTCCCGGGAGGGGTGTGGGGCTGCCCCAGGGAGCCAAACCCAGCACGGGCTGCGGCTTGACCCAGCGGCTCCTGTGTCTTGCTCAACAGCCGGCAGCCAGGGGGGCTGTCCCTGCCCCTGCCCGGCTCTGGCACCCTGTCACCAGCATCACCCTATCCCCAGCATCACCCCAACACCGGTATCACCCCATCACTGGCCCGAAAAGCTGCATGGTGTCCCAGGGTCCTGGCTCTGCGTGGCTGGGGGGACAGAGGCTGTCAACCCCGGCACCACTTGAGGCCAGTGGCTCTTGCGCAAAAGTAAACACGACCCTGGGGCGGGTAAACACGAGTGGCGGCAGCACAGCCGTGGTCAGCCCCGGCTCTGTGCTGGCCTGCCAGGGCCCACGAGCCCCCTGGAGACCCTGAGCCCCATCCCAGCCCCACTCACGCCAGGACCCGGGGGCACTGGAGCTGCCCCCAGGGGCAGGGCTGATAGTCCGGCTTGATGAAGCTCTCAACGCCGTCCTCCACCACACAGCTCACACTGCGTGTCACCACGTAGGCACACCAGTTCCTGCCGGAGGGAAGGGGTCAGAGCACACACCTGGAACACGCCAGCACCAGGCATCATCCTGGCACACACCGGGCATTGTCCAGAGATAGACCTGGCATGGTCCTGGCACACACCGAGCATCATCCCAGCACAGCTCTGGCATTATCCTGGTACAGAGCAGGCACTAGCATGGACCTGGCATCATCCCAGCACACACCAGGCACTGTCCCAGCACAGAGCAGGCACCAGGCAGTGCCCTGGCAGAGACCCAGCATCAGCCCCAGCATCAGCCCCTGCCCCAGGCATCCCCAGCACACCCTGGATTCCCCAGCAAAGCCTGGTTCCGCTGGGCACACACCAGATCCCTGGGCACAAACCGGATCCCTGGGCACATGCTGGTGCCCCAACACAACCTGACCCCCTGAGCACACCCTGGATCCCCCGGCACTCTCCTGTGCTCGCCCAACCAGCCCCACCGGTAGCACCGTCACGGCACAGTGCGGCAGGTTAATGGGCCGGATCCTGCCCTCCCGCAGCCCCTCTTCCCTGCCTGGCAACCTCACAGGAGCAGCTGCAGCACCTGACCATGGGGCAGCCCCCGGGAGCCCTGTGGGGATGGGGGCTTTGCCAGGAGTGGGGTGCTGACACCCTATCACACTGTGCTGTGGCTCCCACGCTGCCTGGTATGCGTACAGGCAACTTACATCCTCCCCATCACTACCCTTGTGTCCCCTGTCCCCTCTGTGCCGGGGGGGCAGGAGCACCTGGGGCAGTCACACACTGGGACTCCAACCCACACACAGACTGTGGGGATCCCTGCTTGAGGTGCAGATCCCCGGCCCGGCCCAGCCCCACATGCTGCAGGGACCCCAGCCCCAGGGCATGGGGCTCCATCCTGTCCCGGTCGCAGCCTTATATGGTCCGAGCCCGGGGCCCAGCCCGGCCCCCCGACCCCACTTGAGCAGTCCCCCAGCAGTTCCCCGGGGAGCGGCCCCCGGCCCTGGGACCCCGCCGCGGGGCCCCGATGCGGCGGCCGGTTCCCGTCAGCCCGGCTGGTTCCCCTCAGGCCCCGGCTGGATTCCAGCTCCTCCCCGGGGGCCGCCGGGAATTCCTGCGCCGACCGACGGCCCCTCCTCGCCTCCCCCCTTCCCTTCCCAGCCCCGCACCCGCGGGGCCCTGGGAGCCCCGGGCTGCTCTGGGATCCCACCGCCCCGCCCCGGGGCTGTCCCCATCCCAGGAGTGGGATGGGACCGGAGTCCCCCTGAAAGGGCAGGACGTGGGGACACCCCCGTACCCGCGAGCCACGGAGATGGGGCGCTGCACCCGCCCACCCGTGGGAAGGCCCCGCTGAGCCCCCAAAGCCGCAGGTAGAGGCTCAGCCGTGTCCGTGCCCCACCAGAGAGCTGGGAGAGCCCGACCCACGACCCCCCTCCCCAGGTACGGGCCATGTCCTGCCACCCGCCGGGGCCGCCCTGGGGCCGGGGCAGCTCCAGCCCTGCGGCCGCGCAGCTGCGGCGCCGATGTGGCCGCGGTGTGTGACCCCATCCCAGCGTGGGGGCCGCCCCCAGCCCTGCGCCCTTCCAGCGCCCCGACCCGCAGGCACAGGCTGCCCCACGGCCGCCCCGCACTGCCCACGGCACGGGATGGGACGGGGATGGCGATGGTGTGGGTCCGGGCCTCTCCTCCTCTCCCGGCAGCGCTGACCCCCGCGTGGATGCCGAGGCGGGACCATCCCGGGATCCCCGCGCCGCGGCACCGGCCCCCGCCCTCCACGTGTGCCCGCTGCCCACCGGCCGCAGGGCCAGGGGTGACCCCCGAGTCAGGAGAGCCCCCGGCACAGCCGCCTCCGCCGCCGCTCCCGCCGCCCCCCGGGCTGGACGTGGCACGTGCCGGTGCCCGGCCGGTGCCGGGGTCCCCGCGGCGTCGGGGTGGGGGCTGCCCCCAGTGCCCCCGCTGCCTCCCCTGTCCCCCCGGTGCGTCCCGGTGCTCTCGGCTCCTACCTGTGCCGGCCGGCGGCCCGGGCACCGCTGTGGGCCGCGGCCGCGCCGGGGGCGAGCGGGGCGGCCCCGCCGGTGTAGAGGCTGTACCGGGGGGGAAAGTTGGCGGCCAGGGCCTGTGCGGCCAGGAGGCACGGCCAGAGCCAGGGGGCCATGCTGGGCTGGGGCGGCTCCACTCGGCTCTCTCAGCCCGGTCCGGCGCGGCTCAGGAGCGCATGGGGTGTCCCGTCGCGGCTCCGCGGCTCTGGGCGGCTCGGCTCGGCACGGCTCGGCTCTGCCCTCCCCCCGGCCGCCCCTCGGCCAGCCCCTCGCCGCCAGGGCCGCCCCGCCGCCGCTGCCCGCCGGCGGGGTCCCCGGGGCCCCCCGCTTCCTGCCCACCGTCGCCCCCGCCCCGGCCGCGCCGGGCACCGCGGCCCCGCCGGCCCCGCCGCCGCCACATCTGCTCCTCGTTAGGCCGAGCCGGGGCAGCCAGAGGGGCCGGGCAGGGGGCCAGGGCGCGGGCGGCCAGCGGGGCGGCGGGGCTACCGCTGCGGCATCAGCACCGCCACCGCTCTGCCACCGGCACCACCTCGCACGGTGCCCCGCGTCCCCTCGGCCACTGCTGCCCTCGCCCCGCACCCCTGCCCCGGGCACAGCCGCGGCAGGTCCCTGCATCGCATCCAGCACTGCCACGTCCCTGCGTGCCCGTGTCCCTGGGTCCCCGTGCCAGGTTACGCATCCCGGTGCCGAGCCGGGAGCTGCCCCGCGCCCCCGGCCCAACCCTGACACCGCGTTGGGGACACTGGGGCGCTGGAGCGACCACCCAGAGCCGCGGTGGTCCTGGACCTGCGGTGACGCCATGGCTTCCCCGAACCGCGTGGTGACGTCACGACCTCCCGGTGACATCACGCCTTGGCCCCGGCCCCACGGTGACGTCAAGGCGCGGGAACCCCTCGCCCTCGGGGAGCTGCGAGCGTGGGTTAAGCACAAACAGCTGCCGGCAGCTGGAGGGGGGAGGGGACGGGGAAAGGGACATGGGGGAAGGGGGACGCGGGGGTGGGGGACACGGGGCTGGGTTTGGCCAGGGTCCAGCCGTGGGCAGTCCCCAAGGGGTCGGTGTCACCTCCTCTGTCCCTCAGAGGCCGTGGAGGGCTGTGGGGGGTCTTAGAGGGCTGTGGGGGGCCGAGGCCCTGCCGTGTCCAAGCGGACTCCAAGGGACTTGCGGCCGAGCAGGGACAGTCAGTAGGGGTCCCGCTCTGCCCCAGGACAGCCGGGGGGCGCAGGGATGGTGACCGGGCTGGGGGCAGGACCCTGGGGGGACTCACTGCTGAGACCCCCCGGCTGCGGCCCATCCTGCACGCAGCCCGGTATGCCCCAGTACACCTCGATACATCCTACCACATCCAGTACGTCCTAGCACACCGCAGTACACCCCCGCCCAGTACACAGCCCAGTATCCCTCACTACCCCCCAGTACACCCCGGTACAGCCCAGCACATCCCAGTATGCCCCAATACGTCCCAGTGCAGCCCGTCCCGCCCCAGCCCTGCGGCCCTGCCCGCTGTCATCAGCTGTAATGAGCTGTCATTAGTGCCATTAGCGCTAATTAGCGGGGGCCGCCCAGGGGCTCGCCCGCCCCGCCCCCCGCCGTGGCCCTGCCCCTCGCCTCGCGCCGCGCCTTGTATGGAGAAGGAGCAGCCGCGGCCGCCAGGGGGCGGGGAGCGCCCGAGGGGGCGGGGCCAGAGAGGAAGGCCCCGCCCCGCCAAGAGCCCCGCCCCCGGTAGCAGTGACGTAATCGCGACCTCGGGTACGGTGACGTCACATCACCACATAGCAATGACTTCACAGCCAGGCCACGCCCCTCCCGCCGTGCCCCGCGGCCGGAAGTGGCGCGCGGCGCAGGCAGACGTGTCGGAGCGGCGGGGCCGGAGCGTGAGCGGGGGGGACACCGGGGGGGACACCGGGAGGGGACACCGGGGGACACTGGGAGGGGACACCGGGGGACACCGGGAGGGAACACGGACCGCAGGTGTGCTCGGCGGGAGCGGCCCGCGGCGGGGGCGAGGGGCTCGCAGCGGGGCGGGGTCCCCCCGCGGTGCCAGCGCGTGTCTCTCCGCAGGATGATCACGGACGTGCAGCTCGCCATCTTTGCCAACATGTTGGGCGTCTCGCTGTTCCTCCTGGTCGTGCTGTACCACTACGTGGCCGTGAACAACCCCAAGAAGCAGGAGTGAGGAGACCCCTGAGAGCCCCGGCAGCGCCCGCCCTCCGTCCCGCCGCGCTGCACGCGATGCCCCGGCCGCGCTGGGCGCGGGGCCCCGGAATTCGCGAGGCCGAGCTTATTCCAAACCAGTTTTAAAGAAAACACGATGATACAAGACGAAACAGTGTGACGTCATAAAAGTCCCGGGCCCCTCGGCCAGGCCCGCGGGGAGGGCCGGGGCGGGCGCAGGGGGAGCCCCCGGGCTGGGGCTCAGCGCAGCAGGAGAGGGGCTGCCGGCAGCAGCTGGGCCAGAGCGGGCCGGTGGGCGGGGGCCGCTGTGGGGCACAGCGGGGCGGGCGGGGCCGGCGGGGCCGCAGCCCTGTCCCCAGCGCCGCAGCCCTTGCCCGGGTGCGGCCGGCACGGGGCCGAGCAGGGCCAGGGGCCCCCCGCCTGCGCCGCAGCCCCCCGGAGCCGCGGGGCCGGACCTGGGGCCGCGGGCCCCTGCCCCGGCACGGGAAGGATTCCTCGGCGCTCAGCACCCCCCCGGGGGGCACGGGGGCCTCCGGGCAGAGCCCTGCAGGACAGAGACCGGGGTCAGCAGGGCACGGGGCTCCCGGGGGGCCCTCGCGCACCGACAGCCTCGGGCCTGATGGTGTCAGGGCTCCGGCCACCCCCGCCTGACGGGGGCTTCGCTCAGGGCTCCCACCACACCACAGCACCTACCCGGGCCGCTCTGGGGCTGTCCGGGCGTTCAGCTTCATCGGGAGCACCTGTGGTAGGCGGGCACAGGGGAGAAGAAGGTTGGTGCCAGGAGGGGTCTTTGTCCCCAGCTGTACAGGAGCTCCCTGGGGCTGTGGGTGCTGCACAGAGCTGGGCCCGTGCCCCTGGGGTGTCCGGAGAAAGCCACTTAGGGCAGAAACGCCTGGCAAAGCCCCACAGCTGGGGGGCTCCCAGCCCCAGGGGCAGCCCCACAGAGGTGTTCCCCCAAAGGTGTTGCCCCAGGCACCCCCAGGCCCGGCTGGCAGAGCCATGGGGCAGTCCTGGGTCCCTGTCCTGCAGTGACCCCAGTACCTGCAGCAGTGCCGTGCTCTGGAGCTCTCCCACACCTCGCTGGGCCTCCCGTGGTCCGTGGCTGGTGCGTGGCATTACATGGGTGCCCGCAGGCAGGGTCCCTGCATGACAGAGGAGACAGAGCTCAGCCCGTGGGTGAGGAGCTGTGTGCCACAGTGGGGGCGTTGCCCGCCCTGGGGGCACGGAGCCATTGCAGGGCACATTTGCACAGCCTGGTGACACCGTTCCCCACAGTGGCAGTGGCCACACAGAGTCCCCTTCCCTGCCAGCCTTGCCAGGGCCAGGCCCCCCTGCACAGCCTGACACTGAGTGCCATTCTGGCAGTGGCCAGTGCCAGAGGGAGGATGTGATGGGCACAGAGCTCAATCCCAGCCCTGCTGGTGCAAGGGGCTCTACCTCCAGCCAGGCCTGGTGGTCCACAAATCACTGCCCCTGGCTCCAGCCAAGTTTCCAGCCTGGTCTCCTGTGGCACTGGTGTGACTGTGCTGGCCAGGCCTGGCTGGCAATGAGGACCTGGGGATGTCCTGGAGCATGAGACACCTGCTCAGCCAGGGAAGCTGGGTGGGAGAAAGGGGGGGCCTTTAGAGACCTGGCTATGGTTGGCAGTGCTGAGGAAACACCCGGGTCACCTCAGCTCTGCTCCCAGTTTCGGCTCTCCCAGTTAAACTGTCTTTATCCCAACCCAGAAGTTCTCTCCTCCTCCCACTGGGGAAGCAAGCAAGTAGCAGGGAGGCTGTGCTGCCCACTGGGATGAATCCAGGGCGGTGTTCCCTGGGGGTTGGACAAAGTGTCCAACAGCCAAGGTAACTGTGAACAGCCACAGACTGTGCAGCAAATGGGACCCTGCAAGCAGGAGCCTGTGCTGGGCAGGATATGCCAAAGTCAGTGGTACCAGCAGGAGGTACTGAAAAGCAACAGCTGACTGCACCTGGGCCAAAACAGCACAATTTGGTGACCAACCCCAGCCAGCAAAGGCCAGCAGCAGCCAAGGGGAGTCACTGGGGGTCTGGCAGAGACCTGGCACACTGATCTCCCTGGGGTGGGGCCAGGCTGGAGAGGGAACTAGGAAGGAAGTGGAAGGATGGGACAAGACCAGGGTAACAGGATCTTCACCCTGTGCCATCCAGCTCCCGCCCCATCACAGGTTCTGAGCATTCCTGGTTCCTTCCCAGCTGCCTGGGAAGCAGAGGCTGGGATGGCACAGCTGGGGAGATGGCACCAGTGCAGGGCTCGGAAGGCAAAGCCAGGTGGTCAAAGCATCCCCAGACCGTGATCCCTGTGCAGACCTGGCAGTGCAGACCCTCGCACGTGGAGAGCAGCAGCACTGTGCGATGAGGCGGCGGGAGAGCTGCTGGAAGCTGGAGCAGGGGACCTGGGGACCAGGTGGGGAACAGGTCAAGCTGATGCCAGGGCAGAGGAAGAAGAGTTGGGTCCCAGTCCCAGTGCCAGGCAGCACGAGCACGCAGTGTCCCATGGGACACTCGCTCTGCTGGGCATGGCTCCCTGTGCTGGAGGAGGCTGTGCCTGAGGGGCTCATGGGCCAGGGAGGCAGGACATTCCCACCCAATCCATCCCCCTGAGCTAGGCTCTACTCCTGCACCCCAGTCTGTTCCTGCTCGTGCCCCCCACTGTGCCCACTCCCCGCAGCCAGGGATGGGGCTCGGGGACACTCCGGGTGGGCCCGGCCAAAGGAACAGACGGAACACCGTGCCCATGAGAACATCAGCCTTTTATTTCCTCCCACCACGTTCTCATGGCAGACAAGACACAGTCACGACAGAGGGCTGGGCAGCAAACCCCGAGGACGACACGACGGAACACAGAGCTCGACACAAGCACAGCTTCAGGCACACCCAGTCACACAGGCAGCCCTGCCCCTGGCTCTGGGGGGCAGGGGATGGGAGCAGGGGCCTCGGGGGCTTCCCCTGCTGGCCTGCTGAGGCACTGGACCCCTGAGGGGCCCGAATTGGCACTGCATGCCCCCCGTGGCCCCGAGCCCCTGTCCCATGGCGAGGATACCAGCATGGGGGCATAGCCAGCACCTCACCTGGATTTGGCACCCCACTGCAGTATATCAACCCAAGGGGACTCACCATGTGTTGGAAGCCCCCAGTGCCTCATGCTAGCCCTGCCAGCCGACCTCCCCACAGCCAAGGCCACAACCTAGTGCTGCCCAGCCAGTGTCTGGGAAGGGGAAAGGCACTTTGGTGTGTCCCCACTGGCCTTTGGAATGCTTTGGGGGCCGCAGGAAGTCAAGCAGAGGTTTTCTGTGCTGGCTTCTCCTGAAGCCCTGCAGGCCCCACACTTAAGGGGAGGTATCTCCCCCTGCCCCAGTGGCTGGGATCCCCCTCATCCCGATGGAGCAGCAGCAGCTCCTGTCCAACCAGGGCTGCAGGACTGTGGGGCGGGCTGGAGGGACCACATGTCTCCCTGCTCAGGACTGCCCCATGGGGACGAAACCCCTCACATTCACAGTTCCACACAAACCCACTGTCACGCTGTCCCAGCCCAGGTCAGGCTGGCTCCGAGCTCCCTCAGGACCGTGGCCCCGTGCAGCAGCTTGGCAGGTGCCGGAGCAGGCGTGTGAGGGGTCCCCAGCCCGGCTTACCTCTGCCCGGGGCCAGGGCGCCGCCATCGCTTGCAGGGCTCGGGGGGGCCACGGCCGCAGCCGGGGGCCTGGGGCTGCCGAAGGTGAAACTGGGGGAGGCCCGGATCCGGGGGAAGTCCTGCTGGCTGCCCCCGCTCCCGCTGGTGCCGTTGCTGAAGCTCCTGGCGCGGGCCAGGGAGTTGTCAGAGGCTGAGGTGGGCAGCCCACTGCGGGGGTGAGAGATGGGGGTCAGTCTGACGTGGCAGGGGGGTTCCCCTCTGTGCCCCCCACCCACTGTCCCAGCCCAGCCCCGAGCACGGAGCGGCTGCAGGTGAGACACCGCCTCTGGTAGAGCCCCAGACTTTTCCCCAGGGACTGGTGAGCAGCTGGGGACAGGGATGTCACTAAGGCTGCCCCTGAGAGCTGCCGCCCCAGTGTCCCATGTCGTACATCACTGTCCCAGCAGTGTTGTCACAGGACTCTCACTCCCTCACCTCCAGTCCCAAATCACAGCATCACTGAGGTTGGAAAAGCTCTCTGAGACCACCGAGTCCAACTCTTCCCCCACCACTGTAAGGCCACTACTAACCCACCTCCCCTTTAAGGGCCTTTAAATCCTTCCAGGCATGGGGACTCCACCACTTTCCTAGGCAGCTCTGCCAGGGCTGGATAGCCCCTTCCATGAAGAAATTGTTCCCAATATCCAACCTGAACCTCCACCGGTCCCTTCCTCTTGTCCTGTACCTTGTTCCCCAGGGACAGAGCTCGATCCACCCCACCCTCTCCACCCTGCTGCAGAGAGTGAGAAGGCCCCCCCAAGCCTTCTTTTCTCCAGGCTGAGACTCCTAAAAATCCCTTAGCCGCTCCCATCCCAGTCCAGTGCCAGAGGGGATGCAGAAAGGACACTTTCCAGGCTACTGGGCCAGGTGAATCCCAACCAGTGTCACCCCTGCCCCTTTCCCCACCGACAGCTCGGAGCAGAGGGACCTACACCTGCAGCTCCTGGAGCTCTGCAGGCCCCGGCCGAGCAGGTGACCCTGGCAGGTGACTCACTTGGGGACATTTATCATCTCTAAGTGCTGTTATCCTGCAGCTCCCGCGCTCGCCCCAGCCAGCCCTTACGTGGAGCTCCTGGGGGGGGTCCCGACCCCTTCTCTCCTCCGCGGGCCCCCACCGGCGCCGCGCAGCCCCCGCACGTGCTTCAGCATCCAGGCCCGCAGGTTGCCCAGGCAGGTGTGCTCTGACAGCACGATCCGCGGCCACGGGTTACACTCGGCCATGTCCAGTGCCGCCACCGCCACTGCCCGGCCCACCTGCACAGCAAAGGGCACACTGAGGGGGGCACACAGGGAGAGGAGGGTGTGGGGAGAGGGGTGGCACAGAGGGAGAGGGGTCCACAGGGACAGGGCGTTTTGGGGAGGGCAGGAGCACAGGGAAGGGGGGACAGCAGGGTGGGGCACCTGTGAGGGGGTCATGGGGACAGGGGAGGACATAGCAGAAGGGAGGACACTGGGGAGGGGGTGC